AGATTAAATAACAAAATTATTTATTCCATTAAACGTTTCGACACTTGATATGTGTCATCATTCAGTAATCTAAAAAGCATATTACATAAATACAAAGTTGATGATAAATATAAATGTATAAAAAGGAGATAATTATACATACCAAACCAGGAAAAACAACAGAAAAAATTAATTATTATGTAAAATTGATTGAACACTAAATTTGTGTAAAATAATAATATACTATTATATTAACAAACGAGAAATTGAAGGAGCACATATTGCTCTCCTATATTTTATGTTATTAATAGCGGTGCATTATGGACACTGATCAAGGTTACAAAGCAAGTGTAGTGAAGGAGTGGGAGCGGGTTGTGAGAAACGAAAGGGGAAAGAGGAACAGAGAAGAAATATAACGAACGAAAAATTCTAAAACTGTATAGAATTACTTTTCATGTAATTAATGATGACTTTGTAACTGTCATGTAAGAGATGAGAGGAATTACGTTTATACAAACGGTTATGTGTAATGGATTTATTACTCGGAATACTTTTAATAACTCATAAATTATTTTATTTTTTATTGATTAAGTCGATTCTTCACACATATCGGGAAGTTTATGTAACTTGCCTCAAGACAAAATACCAACACCAGTCAATGATTTATTTGGCCACGCATTTCGGTCATTATAATCTTGTTTGGTTCCGAGCTGAAATTAATTTCTTATAAAAGTATCAAAGAAATTGCTTCATAAGCTGAATTTTTGCAGATATGACAAAGGGAGGCAAGGCAGCGGCTCCGGTTTGTCCGGGTTTAAATTACTGGCAGTTACTGTAAAACAACTTGGAAACAGATATCAAATTTTATTATTGCCAATAACTATGTTCATAGGAGCCGAGCAAGCATTTATTGCTGCGGATTACAACGCCGTAAGTAAATTTACATTGAAGGATATTTTTATTGAACTTGCATCGATTTTATTACCATTTACTTTAAAAAGAGCAAAATTATAAAAAATGATAAAATGTATAAAAAATTTTACTCAGGATTTACATTTTTCTACCATACTAATAATAATAATAAATGGTAGTCTGCCCGAACCACAAACAAATGTTTCTCTTACCCTTTATCTCATTACCACTATTCCCCCTCCCCATTTATTTTTTTGTAATTATCTACCATATCTAGATACAACAACTCGATATAAAAATTACTTATAATTTAATATATTAATTTCTTATTGATTGAGTTGATTATTTATATTTGTCGGTACGTTAATGAAACTTGCCTTAGAAGAACCAAATGGTGCAGTTTATTGTGAACCAAGAGGTGATGATGATAGGTAGGCGTCCATTAATCATGTGATGCATTTTTAAGAATTTTTTACGAACCCTTTTTTTAAGAATTTTTTTAAGAACCCTTTTTCCACCACCCTGTGCCTCTACCCCCACCTAACACCACATGCATTTTTAGTACCAAGAAAAAATCGTAAAAATTTTTGGAAACTTTCCTTTCAAACACTCCCCCCCCCATTCAAGGCTCACGTGGTTAAAGGAGCTGCTCCTAGAATGTTCATTATAATTGATCAATTAAAATTGTAACTTTGTAGCTAAACTCTGGCCTAAATTAGAACATGTCTCACACAATTTTCTCCTATTAATTTTTATATTTTTCATTAACTTTGTGCTTTTAATCATCAGTCTTTCGTAGCCTGCGCTTGGGGAATAGGAAACATTGGCTTCGTCATGATTTGCTTCGGAGTAGCAAACGCAATTGCTGCGATGGTCACAGGATCCATTGTCAAAATTACTGGACGTTTTCCAGTTATGGTCGCTGCATTTATACTTCACGGTAAATTTATTAGCTTTCTATATACAGAAGCAACAATTATTGTATTAACAGATAAGTGATGTACGCAACATTCATGATGTGTGAAAAATTGGCAGAATGACAAACATACAGATGCGGCAAGTCATTTCCGCAGATCGGAGTATTCTCTAAAAGCAAATTCAACAAATTTTTATGATTGAACTAGTTTCCGTAAGATTTTAATGGTTTAGTATGTTCATTAAGACCAAGTACTCTATCGTTATACCAAGTAAATCGTATAATTTTAATTTTAACAAATGTTAAAAAAACTACTAATTTTCTCAAACTTTGATGAATTTTTTAAATTAAACTACTTGTCGTAAGGCCGTACTATTTCAGTAAGTTCTATAAGATCATGATATATATCTCCAAAGAAAGTTCCACAAATATTGGCTTAAATTTTTTTCAACAGTGAATTACAAATTACAACGATTTTTGTTTTATTTTGTCACTTTGGAACGTATCTTCTATAACACCATATAAAATGCTATCCGGTATTTGGGGATTTTTTATTCCCAGCTTTTTTATGGAACATATTCCCCGCGAATAAGGGTGTTTTACTGTATAATAATTACCAATGTTCGAACGCATTGTAACTTATCTGAAAGTGAAATAGGACCTAATGCATTTTTCTTGTAACTAATTATAAACCATCACATAAAATTTTAAGTATGTTCCATTTTCCAATGTGATTACAAGTGTCACTGATATTGTGATTTTAATACAGGTTGTCTGATGGTGTGGATGCAGATATGGAGACCTGGTCCACATCAGCCCTACATGTTTTGTTTGGTAGCTGCTTTGTGGGGTGTTGCTGATGCTGTGTGGCTTGTCCAAATTAATTGTAAGTAATGAACAATATGTTTGTAATATATATTAATATCACAATAACTGGGCTACTATTTTACTATCATAAAAAATATGGATTTCTTCAAAAATTTACTCTAGAATTCATATAAGTTGCCTTTAATCGTAGTCTTCATTCAGTGCAACTTAATGTTCAAATTATATTTGTGGCCATTCGTAAATTTAGTCACTTAATATACATGAAAATAACTTATTCTCTCGTCAACGATCATACCATGTTGAATACACCGGTTCTCGTCCGATCACCGAAGTTAAGCAACATCGGGCGTGGGTAGTACTTAGATGGGAGACCGCTTGGGAACACCACGTATCGTTGACTTTTTTTTTATTATAATCCACACAAAGTCATAAAATTGTTTATAATAAAAACTAATTATTTCATTCAACTTCTAATTAATTTGTACTTTTTGTATATTTTTCTCCAGGTCTGAGCGGCGTTTTATTCCCCGGGCGTGAAGAAGCATCATATAGTAATTTCCGTCTTTGGGAATCCACAGGATCGGTGATAGCCTTCATTTGCAGTCCATTATTTGGCGTTTCCGCAAAATTAAGGGCACTTATTTGTTTGATGACCCTTGGGGCAGGTTGTTACACTGCTATAGAAATTATGGAAAGGACCGCCGAACGAAGAGCCAGACCGACACATAAAGATTTCAAACCGGTTGCTCGAGAAGATAATCATCAATAGAAAAATCTAGAGATTTTGACTTTGTAAAGGTAATGTATGTTGTGCATGAAATTACAGAATCACTCAAGGTTCCTAGATGTAATACCAATTTTTATTATTTTTAACTCTTTCCACTCGCGAATTGCGAGGTTTATATGACTTTTGTCGCCGGAGCGGCGGCATCCGGGTCGAAGAGTTAAAACGCAATAAGTTTAATTATTAGATCTTGTAAAAATATTTTAATTCTAGCCAATAAGATAAGGCAAGAATTTAGATAATAAGATGTGTGTGTTATTGATTATCATAAAAAAATAAGAGTATTAGTTCAGTTTACCATTTGTATATATTAAAACCACAATTAAAATTCCACAAAAAATAGTAATATCAACTATTAACTTAACCAAAACTTAACCATTATCAACTTATTAACCAAAGAAAACGGAAAGTAATTCTTTCTTTTTGACCCAATTGGAATTAGAGACGCTAAACGATTATAATAGTCAGAAGTATATAATTCAAAAAAGTAATAAATGAATTTTATTTGTTTTGCAGACTATCAATTTTTGATACTTATATATTGGCGACACCTCACATTTATTCATGCTCCTTAATTTTTTTCTAGATTTAACAAGTTCTTATTCTTTATTGCAAAACAGTAAATCATAATGAAGGTATTAGTTGCTCTATTGCTCTCTATTAATTGCTATTCGAAAGAATATATCAAAATAATATTTTGGATCGGATAAAAGTCGGATTTAAGAACCTTAAAGGGACGCGTTTCTGTAAAAAATCGGTGTCACTTAGTTATTTGAATGATTTACACGTGATTTTATAGATCTTCCCAAAAAAAAATCGATTTTTCATTTACGTGCCCACTTAAAAAAGTATAACGTGGTTCTGGTTCAATTTTGTCTGGTCTTTGAACCACTATAACGTCGTTCTGGTTCAAACTGATCCGTTTCACTTGTTAGTAAACTTGTTTTTAAATGTATCTGTTTTATGAACATGATTTTTTCTATTTGCATAATACTCATCTAAAAATGTACCTTAACGAGTCATGTTCTACTTAATTGTAAGTATATACTTCTAATTGTAAACCAATGCGAATTTAACATTATAGGTATTTTGATTTATTGTTAGGTATGAATGAAAGTCCCGAATGAAATTCTATCTCATGTAAATATGAAACCACAATTAACCTTAGAAATAATTTTAATAAAGTTAAGAAAAAAACTTTTGATCTAGCATTAAATTTAATAATATTAAGAAAAATTGTTTTAATATGTTAATACAATTTTTCTTGATATTATTTTATATTATTGCAGTTATTAGTGTCATAATTGCATTATTTATTTCAACAAATATGTAATGATATTGTATTGAAAAATTTTACTTGAAATATTACTGACAAAAGGATAGTTGTTAAGTTGTTATAATTGCTCACACAAAGAATTATGTTTCTTTCAAAAACTTCATTAATATTCTTCGAGAAAGAATTTTTTTTTTATTAAATCACTGGTGTTATTTATGAGCACAAATAATTCATGAAGAAAGAAAATGTGATTAAATTTAAAAATAAGCCAAGTAAATGATATAGATATAATATATTTTCTTCGTTTCATAAATTCTAAACATCACAAAAAATCCTTTATTGATATTAACTCCTAACATCTTAGATGTCACAGAATTCACAGTTAACAGAAAATGGTACAAATAATTCATATAGGAATAAACTATTGTTATTTCATATTCTTTTTCTTTTAATTAATTGTTTTCATGTCTATGACAATTTTTTGGCTTCACTATTACCAAAGGCATCCAACAAGTGCAAACATGGCAATTAAGCAGTTCTTAGAATCCCCAGATTGAATATCAAACAAACTTTAACATATAATGCTTAACAAATGGATAAAGTAATAACACTTGGTGCTGCAATCATCTGGGTATTTCTGCCAATATATGTCTACATTTGGCATAAAATACAGCAATTTTTTCAACATTAATATTAGCCGATTTAGCAAGACCTGTTAAACTAAAATCCCTGCTGCTAAAATCAGACAAATCTGGCCCTGTAAGGAATGTCACAGAGTAACCGTTGCAGTCAGTGCCCTCTTCACCATGGGTTGCTAGATAATTGCAAAGCTCCAACATCTGCAAATAGTCTTGGGTATCTTTTTCCATCTTTTTAGGAATAGTTATCCTGTGAAGAGGAAGTTGTTCTTTATTTCTTTGGCCGCGCAAGTGGCGGTTGCCCTTCAAAAGTTGCCCCTCTAGCCAGCGAATAGAGTCTCGAGCAGGATTGGATTCAAATTTTAGCATGTCAAGTGAGTTCATAACTAAAAAAATAATTAACGTTGAAAAGAAAGTTTTGTAAGTACTAAATAATATTGTGAAACTATTTGGTATTGGTATTTTGCCTTGAGGCAAGCTACATGAACTTCCTGATTCCTTAATTTCAGTAAGACCATGATATATATCGCCAAAAAAAGTTCCATGAGTATCAGCTTAAATTTTTTTTTAAACAGTTAATTACAAGAAAACGGCTCGGTACATTTTTACCTAAAACTAATCAGTATCATTCCCAACTAATATCTTTCGAACAGTTTTTGATTTTTTTAAATCGATTCGGTAGTATGAACTTAAATGCGGCCGAAAAGTTTAACACTTTTTGCCAAATTACAAAGAAACGGCTTGGCAGATCGTCGCACAAAACTGACAAACGATAGTCCTCATTGAGATACATCAAATGGCTCATAAAATTATAAAATCGGTTCAGGCGTTTTTGAGAAAACGTCGGTGAAAGGTCTCATTTTGACAAAAAAACGATACTAATTTTTGTAAACTTTCAAGAATTTTTAAAACTAAACGAGTTGTGGGGCTGTAATATTTTGGTATGATCTATAAGACTATGGTACTTACCGTCAAAAAAAAAATCATAAAAATCGTCAAAAAAAATTTTTTTGACGCTTTATTACAAGAAAATGGCCCGGCCGATTTTTACCAAAAACTAATCAGGTCGATTCGCAACCAATATCTTTCAAACAGATTTTGAATATTCAAAATCGATTCAGAATTGCGAGCTAAAACGAGGACGAATAATTTTTCACTTTTCTGCTATTTACAACAGCTTGGCTGATCGTCGCGCAAAATTGATAAACACTAGTCCTCATCGAGATACATCAAATGGCTTTCAAATTTTTTATATCTGTAGTGACGACAATGATTCAAATTTTACTCACCAATTTTAGGAATAATCACAATGCTCAGCTTGCTCATTACAATCTGTCTAACTTTATGAGAGTGCTGAGTCAGGCATTTTGAATCAATAACAATATATGGAGTGATGGCTTTATTTTTACTATTTTTTGGTGGCTTTGTATTTTTCCGAACTTTAGGAACTGGTGGTTTCTTTGGAATAGGTGGATTAATTTCTAAATCTTTCACCTAAAAATGATAAGATAATCTTAACTTTGTTTGAACAAGCTTAAAGCACATGCAATACAACTACAATATTACTAAATTAAATGATTTTTTTGTCCTCAAACATTTTTCTTATGTAAATATAAAAATTTGAGAAACAAGTACTACATTATTATAATTTTCTAATAAGCATATAACCTGAGATTTCAACCACAACTTTCCCATATGTTTGATTAATTCTTCAGATTCTTCACTGTCCTAAAAATAAGAATAATATTAAGCATTATGTACAGTTAGTATTAATGCATATATAAAAATATTAATATTAGCTCACTTGAAAATTAAGTTCTTCAAAATGTTTTTTAGAATGCATTCTGTTTCGTGTAGCCTTTTTGAATCGTTTTCTAGATAATTTACAATATTTTTGTTTAATTTTTTTCGTGTTCTTATATTCTTTCCTTACCATAAAGTATCTATTTTTGCTATTAAATTTTACATTGGTGTATTTGATTTTAGCCAAAAAGAAACCAAAATTGATTAGTTTCAAAATACGGTATATGCATTCCTCTGTGGAACACATTACTTTATTAATTTTTTTATGATAGTCCCAATCCAAGACAAAGTGACTGTTTTCAAGTATATGCAAACCTCGTAACTCATGGTCTTCTGGTAATGGCACAAATTCATTTGTTTCACGCAACATTTCTACTTCAAATTTAGTTTCATTTACATTTAAAATTTTTCCAAACCTTTCCCGATAATATTTTGAAAATATATCTATGTTCAAAGAATTTAGTAAATGTACAAGACGTTGAATAAAAGTTGGACTGCTTTTAGCACATGACTTTATTAAATCAACATCACCGCGCAGCCAATCGCACAATATCTTGATACTATTCAAAACTTGTTCTTTTTCAGAGAACATTATTATTTCATCTGGTTGCAAACGATGTTTGCGTCTATTGAATTTGTGAAAACGAAGAGGATCTGTAGAAGGTTTAACTCCAGAATCATGATCTTCTAAGCTTATTTTAGAATCAGCATTATCATCATTACTATCATGTGCCTTATTTTCCTGCAAGGATCCATTTACTATTTCAAATTCTAAATCAGCCTCTGAACACTCTTCTTGTTTACTATTTTTAATTCCATTATCAAAAATATCTCCATTGAGAGAAAATCCATTTTTTGAAGGTTTTCTATTCATAAGTTCTTTAACAGAAGTTTCTATGTCTAAGGATGGACTTAGCTCTTCAATGTCTTCTATAATAATATCGTTATCTGAGTCATATTCATTGGATGATATATTATTTTCATTTTCTACATCATTTTCTGATACCTCAGAAGAATTTTCAGCAGAGCTATCAGAATCAAATTCAGAACTAGAATGATCATCAGTAGATGTATCTGAATAATATCTTCGCCTGCGTCTTCTATTATTTCTTTTAATAGGGGAATCAACTTTTTTCTCTATTGGTTTCTCCATGTCTAATTCTTTATTTTCTTTTGTAACTAGTACATTGCTATCTGCTGTAATAGTATTTTCTTCAACTGGTTCATTTTTGAACTCATTTCTAAATTCATTTTTGAGTTTCTCTATTTCCACATATATAAATTCTTCAACATTATCATTTACAAAATTGATTAGCTCTAACAAAATTGCTAATGTAAATGCTTTGACTAAAGAAACATGACTAGAACTGATATCTTGTAATTTTTGTACACACATAATGCAGATAACTGAAATTTTGAAAATGATATCTCCATCTAAACATTCAGGATGTCTTCTAGCATTTTGTTTTTGTAAATATGTATATCCGTCAACCAAATCTTCATACGTTTCAGATGGTGGTTCCAAGTATAAAATGCATTCCTTTAAATCATTGATTGCAGAGTGACACAAATCATTAATATCATCATGGGTTTTATTGAATATCCAAATTTCAAATAAGTATAAAAATCTGGATATGCATATTTTGATATGTTCTGCATAATCATCATCAACTTTGCCTTTAAAGTTATTGACATATGATTGATTTTTCTCAAATATCAATTTTAAGTTGTTTTCAGCCCCATCGAATGGCTGAGGAGATAGCAAGCATTGTATGTAAAAATAAACAGCATCTAGGTGATAGTTAACAGACCCACTTAAAGTGCCTAATTGATTAAAAGGCATTCCTATTCGTGAATCCAAATAAATAGCTTGTTTATAATATCTTTCAGCATTCATTAATCCCCAAACGTTATCTATCTCCAATTTATAACGATTCAAATCACCCATCGATATCAAACAGGAATGTGCACATATATATGCCCATCTTTTTACTTCACTAGAAAGTTGTGTACAGTCAACAATATGTTTCATTGGAAAATCTATAATACCATTCAAATCTAAATCAAATTCACTCTGTAATCTGTATAAAAAATAATTATAATAACCAATTCCTGCATCAATATGGTTATGCAAAATTAATTTATCTGTGTCTTTTTCATTAAAAGCATATTTAGTTAATAATTTCTTGGCTGTGTTTATTACATCATAGAATGTTTTTCTCCACAAGAGTTCTTGCGCTTTACGACCAAACAACAAAGGTTCTGCAAAGAGAAGTTTCTCACAGCCATCACGTAACTTTATTCGCTGTACTTCGATGTGGAGATCAAATAATTCTGTTATCGAAGTTACATTAGAACGAGATATATCTAGACGGCGTGCAACTTCACTAACAGCCCTGGAGAAAATAATACAATAATAATAAAAATAACTATATTATCTATAACGACAATCAGAATTGTAACCCGTTTGCCTTTGAAATGTAATAAAATAAATACTTTAAAATAATGATCTTCACTCACAAAATTACTTCATGATTATAAAGCATTGTATAAGTATTTTTCTATTACTAACAAATTATTACCTAAAGATTTTCTTTCCGTCATCATTCCGAGGGGCAATTAAAACTTGCCCCTCCGAAGAAGGAACAGAAGATGCTCTCTTCATTTCAAACCATCACGTCAAGGTTTTATTAACACAAACTTTTTAATTACTTCTGCGTTGTATAAACATATTTCAAAGATGATGTTTAATTTACGTTTCATAAATGGAATCATCACAACCCTTTACAAAAGTCCAAAAATATACTTCTCTAATATTTTAAATCGTTCTTTTTCAACGCAGTCATTAAAATTGACAGATAAAATTTAGTATTGCCAGACCCACACCGAATGTATGGTGTCTGAAAATTAGTATTGCCTAAAGTTAGAATTATACTCAAGAAATTTTCAAGTCATCGAAGTATTTGCGAATTTCGACGCTAGAGTCGCTACTAGTTGTAGCAGGGTGTACAACTTCTAGTAAAAGGTTTACACACCAGATAATTTTGGTTCATGTACATACTGATATGAGATTAAATCCATTTATATCTTACTCATAGCTAAAAGAAGAGTATATAGATCGATCTCACAGGCCATATTTCGTTGCTACGTTTTCCGACCAAAACTGTCAATTTTCCTGTGTTAGTTGAAGCCCCGCACTATAGATGGCGTTAGTCGGCTGAGTAAATTTTCAAAAATAAATAATTTTTATAATTGAAAAAGTTTCCATAGGATTTTAATTGTTTAGTATGTTCATTAAGACCAAGTACTCTATCGTTATATCAAGTCAATCGTCTAATTTTAGTTTTAACAAACCTCAAGAAAACTACTCATTTTCTCAAACTTTGATCAATTTTTAAATTTAAACTACTTATCGTAAGGCCGTAATATTTCAGTAAGTTCTATAAGACCATGATATATAATCGCCAAAAAATTTACATAAATATTGTCAAAATTTTTTTTGTCAACAATTAATTACAAGAAAACGACTCGGTAGATTTTCACCTAAAACTAATCAGTATCATTCTCAACTAACATCTTCGGTAGTATGAGCTTAAATGTGGACGAAAAGTTTAACATTTTAACCAAATTACAAAGAAACGGTTCGGCAGATCATAGCACAAAACTGACAAAAGATAGTCCTCATTGAGATACATCAAATGGCTTTTAAATTTTTGAAAACGGTTCAGGCGTTTTTGAGAAAACGTCCATCAAAGGTCTAATTTTGACAAATGCCAAAAAAAACGATACTAATTTTTGCAAACTTTGACGAATTTTTAAAGTTAAACGAGTTGTCGTAGGGCCGTAATATTTTAGTATGATCTACAAGACTATGGTATCTACTTTCAAAACTTTATTACAAGAAAACGGCCCGGCCGATTTTTACCAAAAACTAATCAGCACGATTGCCTACCAATATATTTCGAACGATTTTTAAATTTTTAAATTCGATTCAGAATTGTGGGCTAAAACGTGGACGAAAATTTTTTCACTTTTCTTCGATTTACAAAGAAACGGCTCGGCCGATCGTCGCGCAGAACTAACAAACGATAGTCCTCATCGAGAAACATCGAATGGCTTTTAATTTTTAATGGTCCAGCCATTTTTGAGAATACGTCGATTTACGGTAAAAAATCTGTTGCTCACACACACACACACATACTTTTTCCAAACTTAGTCTCATTCGATTCAGAATGACTTGAAACGTCGAGAAAACAAAATTAGCGAATCGAATTTTTTGATAAAAACAAACTTCTTCGGAAAGTTCGGAAAATGTTATTATCATTACATGCGGCAAAAATGCTAGAGCTTTGAAGTAAATATTAATATTAATAAAACAAACGTTGCATATTTGTATTTGATTTATAATTAAATTTTCGGCCTTTGTACAGAAATAAATTATATCTAATAATAACTCATCACTGATGCAAAAAATGCATTAATAATATATTGCATTCAAATAAACTTATGTTTATTTTAACTAAAAAAAATCATGAAGTGACAATAATGAAATAAATAACATGATGTTCAAAAGATGTCATATTATACCATAAAATGAACAAATATAATTCATGAACTCTTACTATTTAATACATATATAAGTATATTCGAAGAATTTTGTTTATATTGTGTTTATTTATTTAATTAAGCTAGTTAAAACTTAATGAAAATTGTATTGTTACTGTGCCGCAGGAAACATTCAATCTATATATTCCGGTCATTTAAATGGCAGTTATTAAAATTTGCAGCTTCCAAAATTAAATTTAACAAGTGAATGGAAAATGTATTAGAAATTATCAATTAAAATTATATTTGAAACGTAATATTTTAAATATATGATAAAGCGACAAGATACTTTAAGTTAATTCTTAAATTGATTACACGATAAAATATAGATTCTGAATTAAATAGATTTTACCTGCACAAGCTTTAACCAGGATCTAAACTAAAAATTCAAAGCCAAGTGGTAGAACAGCGAAAAATAACCTTTTTGTAGATGGAGCAAATATTCAAAATAGTGATTTGCACTTTGAGATCTTACAAATAAGATCTTTTTTATAAGGTAAAAATGTGTGGCAAGGTAAAAATTTAAATTTTGAAATGAATAAAATGATTGAAGTCTGAACAATTGAAAAATAAGTGAGAAATTTGTATTTTTAACTCCATATGTGTGTTATAATTATGTCGCTTTATCGAATTAAACTTTATGTTTGTCTACAGTTTGTATATGTTCATGTTTAGATTTTTGCAATTTTTGAGGAATAGGGTTTATACTACGTACATACTATATCATTTTATATATGTATTTCAATGTCCAGTGACTATTTATAATTTATTTCAATATTATTTATATAATTTATTTTATATATGTATGCTGCTGTATCACATACTTTATGCGTGTTATAAAAACATGTCATTATACAAAAAACGATAATGCTATAAATAAATATTTTTATGTATGTGCCACATACACAAAAATGTTTATATCCAATATTTAAAATTAACTAGATCGTGATTGTGACAATGTGCTAGGTTTAGATTTAGTTTGTTAATGAAATTAGGTAATTAAATTAGCTATGACGACATTTGTGTACGGGTTTTGTCAACAGACGAAAACTTTGCTTCAAAATTTATCCCTCTGAATTAAATTAGTGAGAACTCTAATTTGTTAGTCAATATTTTCCGTTTAGTAGAGCTATAGTGCGGCTTGCTGTACTGTATAGCAGAGTCACTAGTGCGAAAAACACTGCCATAGCGAAAGGGTTAATAAAATATCAAATTAAATAATAAACTGTTACAGTTTCATCCACAATTTGTACAACTGGCTTTTCATTTACGTTAACAAATTATAGAACTTTTAACGAGCAGTTGGAGCGCAAACCTGATTTGAATTTTTACAATAGCTGATTATTAACTAATTTTGAAAAAAAAAACTGACAGAAGTTATAATTTATAACTGTTTATTATGCTATTAGGGAATGCCATACGGAAATGTAATAACGGTATTTCGGTATTTTCTCGTTTAAAACCGGTATTCTTATTATCTTAAACAAATGTAAACAAAATTGAAAAGTACAATAAATTCATTTTTTTAATAATAATTTATCAAAATTTTATCCAATTCAATCAACTCATCATCAATTTCGAGTATATTAAGTACTTTTTACCAAAATCAATCGAATGAGTAAGAAAGACCAAAAAACTTTAAATGGAATTTAAAGATTAATTTGTTCCGAAAAATTTAAACTCGAGTATAATATGTATCAAATAGTGCTTATGTAAAAATACTGAAAACACCGGTATTTTTTTACGTAAATACCGGTATTAATAATACCGCCGAAAATTCGAGCGGTATGCCGGTATTTCGATATACCGGTATACCGGTATTGCATTCTCTATGATTCTTTCGGATGCATTTTGATGATGATGCATTTAATGATTAGTAACTGCTTACCTCAAAATGCATCCGAAAAAATCAGCGGAAATGCAATATATATAAATTCAACATTAATTTATTAACAACATTAAGAAAAGTGAAGTATTTTCAATAATAAAATACAAAAAAGCAGAGAACTAGTGGATATGAGTTGTGCCTTTTAAACTAGTTACTTTTTCCTTGAACAGAAATATGGATACCAAAATATTATAAGGGTTCCTTTTAGTAATTATATCAGTGTCTTTTTTTGGTAAACATTATTTCTAAACCTAGCACATGCTTCTATGAAATATTAAATATATATGATTTTAATACTCAACTAAAAATAAATCCAAATAATTAAATAAGTATTTGTTATAGGTTACCATTCCGCAATGGCAACTATACATACACATGGCAATTTTAAGCATTAAAAATAATTTTGGCCTTCGCACAACTATTATGGAATAAAGACCATTATTACACGAGATGATAAAAATTAACGCAAATAATGTTGGCGATACAATTACTTTATACAATTATTTTCACTAATAAATTTTAATTTCATTTGTCCCTAACTTCGGAATGTACAAATTTGGATACATTGCCAAAAATATCTTTTTTGTCTATATAAGTCCGAATTGATTGCATGTTGATTTTGTCATCATGATTATAAATACATCACTAAAATATATTTGATTTCTATATCTTAATAATTTATATACATTACAAAACACATCACACGGAGTTTATTGGTCTATATATACGTTTTTAAACCAAGTTTCTGGTAATATTATAGAGGTATACAACAATAATTTCATGAATATTATATATATTTTATTGAGGCCTATCTAACTCTAAAGTTTAATAGCAAAGTTATTTTGTATACTCGTGTATAATGCGATACATGCTAAACGTATACATACTGCCCTATTTTATTTTGGCTTATCAAATCCACAGTTTGATAACAAATAGGCATTTTAAGAAATATAATAATGATGCAGGAAGTAATAAATTAAAATTATTCAAATATTCAATTAATTATCACAATAGGGCTGTGAACTTTGATCAACGCATAAATAAAAATCTCAAATAGAATCAATTATCTATGATTATAATAAAATGACCATGAATAATATTGCATTATTTAAAAAATTGTGTGCAAACTCTCTTGAGAAGTAAGACCATGCACAACTATTTATATAATTCTCTTAGGTATTTTAAACAACTTTTAATAATTGTTATGGGCCGATTCTGCCTCATAACAGACCAATGTTATGGCGAGGCCATGTTGTGTGCTCCAACTTGCATACAT